AATAATAATAATAATAATAATAATAATAATAATAATAATAATAATAATAATAATAATAATAATAATAATAATAAAAAATTGAAGACGGACCGATTCTGCCGCTGTAGGAGTTAATCAATGGCTTCGATTTGTCGGAAAGGGCTCGCCGGATTTTCTACCTATTTGATTTTTGGAAAATGGAAGGCGGGATCTTCTCCTTCTTCTGTTCATGAACTTTGCAGTCGGTTTAGGGTTTATCCAATTGGAGCCGCTCGCCGGATGAGCACGGTGGCCGACACCGTGATTTCAGATCCCACAGACCAAAAGATTGTATCTTTAGCATCTCCTTGGTTGATGCTGCCTCCCGTATTTGAATGCGGCTCCAACGCCGCCCCAACCACGCGTTACAAGTTCTGCAGCCTCTTGGAAGACAGAGTGGTGTCTACAGCCGCAAAAAATGCTTTCATGGGAGACCTCATGGATATTGTGGGCTCTTCTCACGGTTGGCTTTCCCTGCTCAACCCCAACACCCTAGACATGTTCCTCTATAACCCCTTCTCCGGCTGCTACGTAAAGCTTCCCCCATTGCACAACCTACCGGCTGCCTCCCGCTACAGCCCGATGTGTGTGGATAAGGTAATCCTATCATGCTCCCCGGATGATGATGAACAAAATTGCCGTGTCATCATGATTTACAATTGCCCAGCTGCTATGGCCTACTGCTGCCCTGGGTCCAGCAAGGAGTGGACCTGTATTGTGGATGGGGAGACAAGCACCAATGTCGGTTGGTACAAGAATTGTGTATATTCCAAAGAACATCAACTCTTGTTTGCCCTCACCAGCTCTTTTGACTTGGTGTCTTGGGACCTTGGGGACCCTCTGTCCCCGAGTCTTGTTGACTGCCGGAAAATGGATTTTCCGAAGACCGAGGAGGAAAAGAAGCTGAAGGGTTTCCCGAAGACCGAGGAAGAAAAGAAGCTGTGGCGTCCCACATACCTGACGTGTGAGACCGTGGAGCATCTGGTGGCTGCTGGGGAGGATCTCCTCTTGGTGACTCAGTATGTGCTGATGAGCGTGCTCCCCGACGGTTTGTATATTGACTCGAACAACGATCCCACCGGCTCTATCTACGAACAATGCTTTCCGTATGTGACTATTGATTTTGATGTTGAGAGATATGATCCTGCCACTGCGGGTGTTAAGTGTGTGGAGGATTCGTTTCTTGGTGGGTGGGCTCTGTTTGTTGGCTATTACAGCGATGCAGTTGCTTTGCCAGTGGCCCATTACCCGGAGGGAATCAAGCCCGGATCCATTTACTTCACTGATGTTATGGGGGCTTGGATTGGCGAAGATCCATCAGGAGGCCATGACGTTGGCATTTTCAATTATCAAAACAAGACGGTGTCTCCGTGCTACTATCCATGTGATGCTCAGAGCTTGAAAAAGAGTTGCCCGGCACCTATGTACTTCCCAAGTCGTGGCTGATTTGGATTCTTATGTTTTCCTAGTAATATCAGTTGGGTTTTCATTTTAAACGTTTTGCTAGCATGGCTCTGGTATTGTCTGGTACAAACTCATTCCATTTTCTAGTTCTAGCTGGTGTTTCTCTAAAATCAGTAATTTTTGTTGTCAGTTTTGTGGTATAATTGTTACCCAAGCTTAGCATTGATTGAATATCAGGTTGTAATTGGTGAGTATATTGGAAGTCAACATTATCATCCGATGTACTGTTCTAGCTTTTGATCGGTAGTTCTGGCAAGTATAAACCATTTAGTAGGATAAGTGCTATTGTTAGATTGATTGACCAGTTTCTCAGCTCCCAAGACATGATAATGTAGTTGATTTCTAGTTAATGGTTATGGGGTATGCTGTACTGGGGTTGTATTATTAGGGTGTATATGCTGTTACAGGAGATCACTGTGTCAGCAGGAATATTGAGGGCATCATGTTTTTCCACTGGTGACCTAGTGGTGTTCTATTAAAATTCATGGCTATTATTATCTCACATAAAATTTATTTGAATGCTCCACATTCTTGCGATCTGTTATACCACAAATACTTGAACCGCTGGACCGCTCCTCTCGAACCGGGTTGCGCTTCCTTGATCGTCGGTACCTGCAAAGCACGCCGGGGATGGTCCCGGCGCGAACACTCTGACGCTCAAGTCAGTGATAGGCTAGAGAGAAAACGGCAGAGTAACGAGATAACTCGTGTATGTGTGTTGTATAAAATGAATGAACCTGCTCCCTTTTGTAGGAGAAATTTGGAGAGTCCCAGTGGGATAAGAAGTCTTCTTCGTATAAAACACTTAGTTAGGTTAAAGGTCTTCTGAATCCCGAGAGTCCTTGTTGCTATTAACTCCTTCGTAACTTGGTCACAAAGCCACCTTCAAGTTCTAACCTCCTCGACAACACACGAGGGCCGTCGGACACCTCCCAAGATCGAGCACCCGCCGAACACCATCCAAGTTCGAGCACCTCGTGCCGAACACGCGTCACTGAGAGCCTTGCGCCGGGCACTCCCACCGAGAACCTAGCACCGGGTACTCCACATGCCGGGCACCCCTTACGCCGGACACTCCTCATGCCGGACACTTACCCCATGTCGAACATTCACCACTCGCCGGGCACTCACCCAACCACCCGACTACCACAATGTCTAGCCGGTACTCTTCATAAGGCATAGATGACCGGATCACAACCGGTTCCTCATGAGCCGCTACTAACGACCATATCATCTAGCCCCCCCATTCCTTAGACAAGTGGAACTTGTGGTAAGGAATGGAAGAATCACACACATCCTTGTAAGCATTGCGACTACCTTACCCAAACTATATCACTACTTCATGAGTTCGTGCATAAAAACACTATAAACCTCACCGAGCCACACACCACCACGTCGAACACCCCTTTTGCCGAGAGTCCTCGCGCCAAGCACCTCTCGCCGAGAGAGCCTAACGCCGAGCATTCGTCATGCCGGACGACGCCGCCCAGGACGCCACACTCTGACCGCCTCTAATGCCGAGCACCTGAGGGGAACGCCGAAGTCGAGCACTTGAGTAGCGCCGAACACCTGAACGACG